GGAAAATTTGTTCCATATCTCTCTTCTAGCTTCTGGTAGCCTCTGATGTCCCTTGGCTTGTAAATGGCATTCTCTCTGTGTCACCACATCATCTTACCTCTATATGTGTCTGTCTCTTCATGTGCATTCTTTTCGAAGGACACGAGTCACATTGGATTAGGGACCCACCTAATTCCTATGTGAATGATTATATCTGCAGTTACCTTATTCCCAAGGTTATATTCTGAGATACTGGGGGATAGGACTAACATGAATTTTTGGGGGGGGCAAAACAATTCAACCCACAGCAGTTACCTTATAAGGAGAGGGGGTCTTCATACATGATTAAGGATCTTGAGGTGGGGAGATTAACTTGAATTATCTGGGTATACCCTAAATATAATCACAAGTATTCTTATAAGAAAGAGTCAGAGGGATATTTGATATATACAGAAAAGAACCATGTGATTTCCATGTAACCGTGGAGCCAATATTGGAGTAACGTGGCCACAAGTCAAGGAATGCCGGTAGCCACCAGAAGCTTAAAGAGGCAAGGAACAGATTCTCCCCAGACCGTCCAAAGGATGTACGGTCCTGCTAACACCTTGATTTTAGCCTGATGAAACAGATTCTGATTTCTGGCCTCCAGAACTGTGAGAGAATAAATTACTGTTATTTTAAGCCTTTCAATTTATGGTAATTCGTTACAGAAGCCATAGGAAACTATTCTGTTCCTAGAGCCTCAAAAAGGACTTCAGCTCTGCCTATACCTTAATTTTAGCCAAATCCTCTCCCCCCCCCCAGCATTTTGGACTTCTCACATCCATAACGTTAAGTTAATAAACTTACATTATCTTAAAACACTAAATTTTTGTGTTTGTTATAGTAGCAATAGGAAGCTAATTCAGAAGGAAACTCCCTCAACTTGATAAAGAGCATCTACAAAAAACTTACAACTAACATTATATTTAATAATGAAAGACTAAATGTCTTCCCCCTCAGACTGGAAATAGGGAAAGGATGTCACCTCTCACCAGCCTTATCAAACAAAGTGCTGGGAGTTCTAGCCAGTGCAATAAGGTGAGAAAAAGAAATAAAAGGCATTCATATCAGAAAGAAAGAAAGAAAACTGTCTCTATTTGCAGATGACATGACTGTCTATGTAGAAAATTCCAGGGACTCTACAGAAAAATTCCTCGAGCTAATAAATGAGTTAAGCAAGACCATAGGATATAAGATAAACATTAAACAAATCAACTGTATTTCTAGATTAGCAATGAACAATATGGATACCATTCATAAAAATAAAATACTATTAAGGACAAATATTGCAGATTCCACTTATATGAGGTATAAAAATAGTCAAACTCATAAAAGTCACATAATAGGATGATGGTTGCCAGGGCTGAAGGGAGGAGGAAATGGGGAATTGTTGTTCAACTGGTATAAAGTATCAGCTATGTAAGATGAGTAAGTTCTGAAGAACTTGCTGTATAACATAGTACCTACGGTTAACAATATGGTACTGTCACTTTAAACTATGTTAGGCTACATCTTTTTTTAATGATTTTTTTTCTTATTTGAGACAGAGTCTTGCTCTGTTGCCCTGGCTAGAGTGCAATGGCATCATGATAGCTCTCTGCAACCTCAAACTGCTGGGCTCCAGCAATCCTCCTGCCTCAGTCTTCCGAGAAGCTTAGATTATAGGCATGTGGCACTGTGCCTGGCTAATTTTTCTATTTTTAGTAGAGATGAGGTATCACTCTTGCTTAGGCTGGTCTTGAACTCCTGACCTCAAGCAATCCTCCCACCTCAGCCTCCCAGAGTGCTAGGATTACAGTGTAAGCCACTGCACTTGGTCTTTTAAAAATTATTTTTAATTATGGCTACATAATAGTTGTATTTATTGATAGGGTATATGTGATGTTTTGATATAGGCACACAATGTGTAATAATCAAATCAGGGTGATTGTGGTATCCATAACCTCAAGTATTTATCATTTCTTTGTGTTAGGAACATTCCAATGCCACTCTTTAGTTATTTAAAAATATACAATAACTTTTTGTTGGCTACAGTCACCCTGTTGTGCTATCAAATACTAGATCTTGTTCATTATAACTATATTTTTGCACCCATTAACCATCCATACTTTATCCTCCTGTCCCCACTACCCTTCCCAGCCTCTGGTAACCATCATTCTACTTTCTATCTCCATGAGATCCATTGTTTTAATTTTTAGCTCCTACATATGAGCAAGAACATGTAAAATTTGTCTTTCTGTGCTTGGCTTATTTCACTTAATGTTCTCCAGTTCCATCCATGTTGTTGCAAGTGACAGGATTTCATTTTTTATGGTTGAATAATATTCCATTGTGTATAGGCTTGCCTTTGTTTTGTCCCCCTCAGAGCTCTCTCAGGAATGGAGCAACCTCCCAAGTGGTGTCTGTCAAAATATATACACCACCCACAGCCACCTGGGACGAGGACAGAGGATGGGGCAAGCAGCAGACAGACCTGAAAGACAGAAAGAGGAAGCTAAAGAGGAAGATACATAGGGGAATAAGGGCTGTGATGGGCTCCTGCATATACTGGAGAATCCAGAATACAACATGCATATCCAGGGCTGGATGCATGCTCAGAACAGACTTAAGAGGACCTAACATTGCACCTCTGATCTTGGGGCTCCAAGGAAGCACAAAGTAAAGGCCAAGGCAGAGTTGTAATAAACCTGGCTAAGCACTGAAGGAATGCCCCAGCTCAGAGCCAATCTGCAAATCTCAGGAAAGTTTTTTTTTTTTTTTGGTTTCTTTTCTCTCTCTCTCAAGAAATTTCTGTCAGTGATCGCACATGACAAGGAATACAATCTTTGCAAAAAATAGTTTGGAAAAGTAACTAAATGGATGACTACAACCCACAAAAGCAAAAGCAACAACAGAAAACCCTGGAGGGGGGGGATTCTGATTCCGAGAGTTACTACATTATAGTATTCAAAATGCCTGGTTTTCAGCAAAAATGACAAAACATATAAGTAAATAGAAAAGTATGACCCATTCACAAGAAAAAAGAAATTGAGAGACACTGTCCCTGAAAGCTAAGACAGTGGACGAGACAAAGAGTTTAAACCAACTGTCTTAAATGAACTCAAAGAGCAAGAGGAAACTGTGGACAAAGAACTAAAGAAAACCAGGAGAATGATGTTTGCACAAATAGAAAATATCAATAAAGATAGAAATTATAAAAGAGAATCAAATAGAAATTCTGGAGCTGAAAAGTAAAATAGCTAGAATGAAAAATTCACTAGAAGAATTCAAAAGATTTGAGGACACAGAGGAAAGAATCAGTGAACTTGAAGATATAATAGGTCAATTAAAATAGTCCAGTTTGAAGAGCAGAAAGAAAAAAAAATGAACAGAGTCCAAACGGCTTGTGGGATACTGTCAAATATACCAACTGCTTGTTTTGCAGAATTGGTAACGATGATCCTAAAATTCATATGGAAATACAAGGGACAGCCACAACAATCTTAGAAAAGAACAAAGTTGGAGAACTCATACTTCCCTATTTCAAAGCTACAAAGCTTACAGTAATCAAAACAGTGCGGTACTATCATAAGGTCAAACACATAGACCAATGGAATAGAATAGGAAGCCCCCAAATAAACCCTCATACATATGGTCAATTGATTTTTGACAAGGGTGCCAAGACCATTCAAAGGGGAAAGGACAGTCTCTTCAACAACTAGTCCTTGGAAAACTGGATATCCACGTGCAAAATAATAAAGTTGGACCCTTTCCTTATACTATATATATCAACTCAAAATGGTGGTTTCTCAATAAATTAAACATAGATTACCATATGTCTCAGGAATTCTACTCCTGGGTATTTGGGTATATGCTCAATAGTGTTGAAAACAGGTGTTCAAAAAAAAAAAAAAAAAGCTTGTACAGAAATGTTCATTATGGCATTACTTACAAAAGCCAAAAGGTGAAAACAACCCAGATGTCCATTCACTGATGAATGGATAAACAAAATGTGGTATATTGATATAATAAAATATCATTTAGCCATAAAATGTAATATTTTAGTACCAATTATATCCAGTACTAATATTTTAGTACCAATTTAGTACTAATATTTTAGTACCAATATATCCAGAACATGAATGAATCTTGAAAACTAAGTGAAAGAAGCCAGTCACAAATGATTCTACTTATATGAAATACCCGTGGGTCAGAAAACCCTGCCTCAGAAAGGAGATTAGTGGTTGCTAGGAGCAAAAGTGAGGGGGGAGAGGGGAGTGACTGGTTACTGATATGGGATTTCCTTTTATGGTGATGAAAATGTTCTAAACTAGATAGTCATGATGGTTGTACAACATCGTGAATGCACTAAATGTCACAAATGGTAAATTTTATATTATGTATATTTTATCACAATTTAAAATATAAATATATATACAAAAATTTTAAAAATTCCCTCAAACCAGTGGGCTGGATTGAATGCAGCTATGTCCTTGTTTAGGGACAGGATCCCTGCCTCCTCCATGTGGAAGCACAAGAAAATCAACTCAAAATTTCTAATAAATTGATAATTCCAGATTTTATTTATGAAGCAAGACTTTGTTGCCAACCCAGTGTGTGCACCCACCAACCAGTTTTCTTCACAGGAATCCCTTCAGAGCACCTTTGCCTCTAAGATAATGATGCTTCCAAAACGTGGATTTTTTAAAAAATCCAAATTAATAGCTGCAAATCAGAGAATCCAACTAGGCAAGCCTCCCTGTTTACTAAACAAACCACTTCCTCTGAGTTTCCCCATCCTGAAGCTGACTAATTATAATATTGTAAACTTAAAATGATCCACGCCTTCCAGCTTTTCTAGTCATAGTAAAAGTCACACTCTTGTTGACCTAGCTATCACCCACCTAGGATTTACCCTCTAAAAAAAGGAATTCAATTAGGAGGAAACCCTGGGCCTGATGAACTCAAATCCTCCTTCTGCTGTTCTTCTAGATAGTGTGTTATACTCAGCTCCTTCCATCTTTTGAAATGGTGAGAACATTGTTTTTTTTCACCTTGCCTTGAGAACACATAAGTGAATTTCCATTTTCTAAATCTGAATTGAACATTTCCCTCATTTTAGCCATAATAGTTGGGGCTGGCTGCTGCACTCAGCCTGAAAATGATAGGTTGGATCTCTACAATCTCAGGAGACATACCCAGGTCTTTCCTAGAACATCTCTAATTTGTGATGCCAACGAGAGCTCACAACCACAACTGGAAGTGGGAAGGATGGAGGCTGCTCCACCTCTGATTGCCCATGTCACCTCTGTCAGGACGCACAGGGTGTTTTAAGCTTTTAGAGATGAGGGAATGGGAAACTTACTGGCTAGAGAACAGGACCAGGGATAAACCTGACCCAAGGCAGTCAGTGACATAACTATCCAAGCCTGAACTCTGGACAACTTGAGAGAAAGCGCCCATGAACTCTGAAACTCACCCTTACCAGTATGCCTGCTTGCAGCCAGCACCCATTCCTGTCCAGCCCCAGCCCCAGAGAAGAGAAGGCTGATGCTCTTACTATTCCTGACTTTTTGTTGCATCATTTGAAACCCTCAGGGGAACGTGGTCCTGGAAATGGGCTTTCTAACTTCTTTCAACCATGTTCTTCCCTGAGCTGAATTGGACAAAACATATCCCCGAGCTGACCTGGACAAAAACAAAGGCGTCCAGAGAAGCCCTGATACTCACATTTTGGATAATTTCAGAATTCTCACAGCCCTCAGAGAAATGCACCACCCTTAGAGAAAATAATGCTAGCACCTGGGTGTCCTGGCTGCTCAGCTCTGCATGTTGAAGGGAGATATTTACCAAGCTGTCCCACTCACCTATAGATAAGGAGGCTACTATCTAGCTCTCAAGGACAAAGCAAAGACCAAAAACTAGTGGGTTAGTAAATTTCTTATTATTCAAAAGATTGTCTGGATAGCCATCAGTTAGGTCCTAGTGAGCATATAGCCAGAGAAAGGAAAACTGAGGGCTTGTTGACTTCCCAGCTAGTTGGGGGCTGAGCTCACAGGGCTTGGTCTCAGCTGCATCACAAGAAGAATGGAGGTTTTCTTGCAATTCAGAAGTTTATTAGTGGATAGGTGTGGGCCAGTTGGTGTTTACATCTTGATCCCCACAGCCCTGGTGTACTGGCTGCTGGGAGGTTGGTGTGGGGATTCATTGCTCTGCTGGTCACTGGTGATGTTACCCCAGGATGATGATGGGCCTCTCTCCTGGGTCCAAGGTGCCAGGGCTCTGAGCCAGTGCTATTAGAGAGACTCCACTTTTGTTTCCAGGGCCTGGGCTGGGGAGGTCAGGGTTTTTAGGATCTCAGTGTAGTAGGGGCCAAACACCTGCTGATTGTGATGGGTCAAGTTGACAAATTTTTGTCCCAGCTCCGCCAGCTCTGCCTCAATGAGAGTAAGGCCTCCAGGGAGGTCTAACAGAGACCTCTGCACACCAAGAACCAAACAGCATTTGAGAAACAAATGGATTCGCTGATCTGTGAACAGGAAAAGACAGGAGAAGGGAAAGGGCAAACAGATTTCAGGGAGAAACATTTCCCGTGGACTCCACTCACCACATTGAGTTAACTGAGATATTTACCAAGCTGTCCCACTCACCTATAGATAAGGAGGCTACTATCTAGCTCTCAAGGACAAAGCAAAGACCAAAAACTAGTGGGTTAGTAAATTTCTTATTATTCAAAAGATTGTCTGGATAGCCATCAGTTAGGTCCTAGTGAGCATCTGACATCACAGGAAGATCTTAGAGTGATCCTTCAGATGGCTACGGTTAGGAGCCAGCTGGCCAAGCTCACAGCCTCCATTCCAACATAGGGGTGGGGGAGTCCCTACCATGGGAACATGTCTTACAGCCTAATTCAGCATCAGTTTCTTGTTGGGGAGGAGGGATGTCAAATGTCTTGGGCTGCAGTCAGAGTATGACCAACCAGTAGGCCAGGGTGACTTAATCAGGTTGGTTGGACAGTATCCTACACCTAAGAGTCCTGAATTCCTGATGCAAATCTTCCTCAGAACCACAGAGTCAGTCTTTATACTGAAATGGATATATGTTTAATCCAGCATTTTGAAAAAATTAAAGGCTAAATAGTGACTTACTCAATGACCCTGTCTTATGTTGGTAAATGGCTGAGTAACTCGCTTCCAGGGTTAGTATTTACGTCTCTCCCCAGCATTCTCACCACCTCACAAGCATGCTCACCAATGACACTGCGGACACAGTTCTCCTTCTTGGCAATGTTTTGGAGCTGTCCTATCAGAGATGCTGTATTGTCACTGCTCAGAGCAGCAAGGCCCATATTCTTGAGGCTTTGATGGATTTCCTGAGATACCTGTTCACTCACAGTCAGCATAGCCTCTTCAGGCCTAGAGCATAAAAAAGAGTAAGCTGGTACCCACCAAGTGGCCCTGGCAAGGAAGCTCCACACCAGAAGCAAGGCCCACTTGAAGGAGAATCCCAGACATCCTCCCCACCTCCAATGCCCAGCCCCTGGGAGGCAGCAGGGCCCAGTGGGCAGGTATAATGTCTTCACTATAACTCTCAAGATACCAACTATTCTTTATGTTACCATATTCTATTCAGTAAACAAGACAAACTATAAAATCAACTCTGGGACAGCATTTAGTTCTGTCCTTGGATCTACTCAGCATTCTTTAGTCCCATGGACTTTTTAATTAAGAAATTTATTTTGGGTATGGGGTCTCACTCTGTCACCTAGGCTGGAGTACAGTGGTGCAATCATAGCTCACTGCAGCCTCAAACTCCTGGGCTCAAGCGATCCTCCCCTCTCACCTTGGCCTCCCAAAGTGCCAGGACTACAGGCATGAGCCACCATGCCTGGCCCTTATTTTTATGTATACATTTTTAAGACTTCCTCAGGCATTTTCCATGGTCATTTGTCCTAACTCAGCAATTATAATTACAAACCCAGCCTTCTAATTCCTCTTTTTCCTTCAGTGTGGTAGCCTACACACAGTGGATGTTCAATCAGTATTGCTGACTGACTGACCAACTCCTGGATATCCATAATAATACCAGCCCACTGTCACCTATTCAAGTAGATATGATGACTCCTTTGTAGCAAATTGCCCCCACACTACCCTTTTTGGAAGAAAGTTTTATTTTTCTTTGTCATGAGCCTCAAGACCACTTATGGAAAGAAACCAACAATCTTTGTAGATGGTTCCAAAGGGCCCATCTGTGGTTTGTGGTAGACAGCAAGCGATCATTCATTACCTGCCTATGTCCTAAATACCTCATATCAACTTGTACTCTAAAAAAGATCTATGCGCTTACCTGGAGTTAAAATCCTCCAACAGAGATCTGGTTATGCGTTTCAGTTTATCCACAAACTGGGGTGAGCCAAATAAAACACTGCCAGAGAAACTACTGGCCACTAGCAAGACTGAGGCCAGGACAGTTAACTGGTGCAGCTGGGACTCCAGCTCCTGCAGCCGAGTTCTGTCCATCAGCAGGGTCTGGGGACCAGGGAAGAATAGGCTGTCAGGAAAGGAGGGCCCTGATGGAAGCCCTGCATACAAAACAAGGCAATGCCCCCAGACATTCTTACCTCAGGGAACTCTTCATTTTGAGGGTCCCAGAGAAGGAGGTTCAGGAAGCCCTGGGACAGCACCATCGAGGGGCTGAGGGGCTCTGGGTTGTTGGCTGGTTGATTTGGAGAGGGGCCGGCCACACTGGTGGAGTCAGGCATGTCAGGACAAGTTGGAGGTGGTGTGGTGAGGTCTGCTGCTGCTTTGGTCAGCCATTTGGTGGTGTGATTGAGGAGGCCTGCAATAGGGAAAGGAGTGTATAAACACTTCATCATTTTTATCTCTGAGGTTTTAAGACCAAAGTTCTCTTCAAGATAGCTCTTGGTCAATAAATAAATTATTTAAGAACCTTTCTGTCTTAAATAAATGTTTCTTCTTCCTCCCTTTACCTGAGGAAGAAACTTTCTATTCCTAAAGAGAGACAGAATATTCTGTAACATCATAAGTCAGACCCAAGGTCATGTCTTCCCACTCCTGCCCTCACATTATATACATACCAGGCTGCTCATCGAGTTGTTCCTGGAATTTGGCCCGTTCATACTGGATGGAATGTTCCTGCAGGTGAGGTTGAAGGCTCTGGATAGTGTAGTTCACCATGTCCATTTTCATGAGGCCCAGAACCTGGAAGATCCCTCTGACACAGGGGGAAATAAAATATTTATATACTGTGAAAGGAAATCTAGTGAGCTGGAAACCCAAACAAGGAGTCATTAAATCACTATATTCTAGAGTTAGGAGGGGTCTTAAAACTTAATTCTACCTCCTACATTTATAGAAGATGACATGTAGCCCAGGATCCAAGACCCAGGTTGTGTTAGGTTAGTTAGTGGCAAAACTGGGAATAGATAAGTCTCTGGACCTTAAAGCCTCTGGTCTAGATCTCTTTCACTATGGTCACTCTGTCGTTTCTTTAAAAAGGCAGTCAGTAGAAAGCAATAAATTAGCATATTAACGATTCTATTTGGAAAGTAGTATTATAGGTGATGCTATTTCTGACTCATCGGGCCACTTATTTTTCTTTTTTAACTTTCTGAGTCTTAGTTCCTATAGCTGTAAAATAGGGATAATCTCCCATACCTGCCCCCTCATAGTATACGAACTGGAACAAGAGAAAACCTGGGAAAGGGATGTTTTAACTCCTTGAAGAAATAATTACGTATTCTAATGTCTTATTGTATTATGGGGGGGGGGGAGCAGACCAATCTAAGGATAACCAAAGGCCCTGTGAGGTGATCTTTGGAAAAGAAAGGCCAACAAAGCAGAGAAGAGAGAGGGAGTGTGGTCGGGTCTTCAGTAGGGAAAAACTGGTAGAGACAATGACTATAACCCAGTGTCTGCCCCAGCTTTTTTTGGCCCAGGGACTACGGCAGGTTTCAGATGGCAGAGATAAAGTCTCACACCTCAGTAACTGAGCAGGGTCTGTAACGTGTTCTAGTTTCTGCACTGCTTCATCTCGAACTGGTGCACACAGCAAAGTCATCATATTGAGAATGTACTTAGAGAGGTAAGGGACATCCAGGGTCCCATCTTCTGCTTTCTGCTTGAGGAAGTTCATGTCCAGAGCTTCTTCGATCTCAGTTCTTAGGCGGTTCTGGCGTGGTAACAGCAGTGATAGCAAGATCTGACCAAGAAAGAAAGTCAAAGAAGGAGTTGCACTGTGTTTAGAGCCCCAAGCTCTCTCCAGTGGGCAGAGCCTTTAGCTAAAGACATTCCAGCCTATGATTTTTAAGGATCAAGAAGTTGGGTCCCCAAGTTTCCTAGAGAATATTATTTACCTTTGTTTAGGGGCCAATGATAATTTAAGGCTTCAGTGGATCAATTTCGGCACTAGTTTATATAATGACCCACTTTACAGGATTTAGTTTCCCATCCTGTCAAGTCTGAGATTTGCTGATTTGTGTGATGTACTTGCATGGGTTCCAGTGAACCAGTGGTCCAGATGAAAACATTACCTGGCCATTTGGGGCTCTTCACCAATAGGATAAAAAAAAAGTTACTCTGCTGGCTGGAGTAACTGATCCTGAGTACTAAGGATAAACTGGATTGCTGCTATACAATGAGGGCAAGATAGACTATGCCTGAAACCTAGGAGATTCTCTGAGGTGCCTCTTAGTACTTCCAAGCTCAATATTAAGGATTAATGGAAAACCAAAGCAAACAAACAAAAAGAACAAAACATTTTAGAACTCAGACTCTATGTCAATGAAGGTTTGGGTCACTTCGATAGATAAAGAACCCTAACCAGCCAAAGTTCTGGCAAAGTACAAGGGAAATATGGAAGGAAGAGTGGAAGAAGGAAGCCATAGATATCAACTATAGCCTTTTGACCAATTACAGAAACAAAGACTATAAATTTTCTCTTTGCATGTTATAGGTATGTTTATTTGTATATGCTAACCACTTTGTTTTTCCTCCTCCTTCCCATTATTATTTTATATACAGGTTGTTAGAATTTAACTTTACAATTTAGCCTTTAGGTAACAGAATATGCAACAAAACTGACTGAATTTGAGGAGCAGCCAGTGATGCATATCATAACTATTTGGGGCCATGTGTCTCCTCATTTTGGGAGAGGATGAAACTTGACAGACAGACAGCTATTTATTATTAGGTAGAAACAGAGTTCTTTTCAGGGATTCAAATGGTGTGTATGGAAACTGCATAGCCAAAGGAGTGACTCTGCCATTTATGAATATATTGCTTCACAGCTCCAAATCCATTGTTCTTTTCTCTGCTCTGTGAAAATAGAACTAAGACCTTTCAATATCTTTCCAAGATGGCCATATATACACACATACACACACACACATAGATATATGAAGTTATATATTTTTTTTTTTTTATAGAAAGAGGTCTCACTCTGTTGCCCCAGCTGGAGTGCAGTTGCACAATCATAGCTCACTGCAGCTTCAAACTCCTGGGCTCAAGCAATCTTCCCACCTTGGCTTCCTGAGAAGCTAGGACTACAGGTGCCTACCACAATGCCTGGATTTTTTTTTTTTTGTAGAGATGGAGTCCTGCTATGCTGCCCAGGCTGGTCTCAAACTCTTGGCCTCAGCTTCCCAAGATGCTAGGATTACAGGCATGTACCACTGTGCTTGGCCCCAGACGGTACAAATTTTAAGCTTTATCTGTAGAGGGTGTTATTATTTAGTTTTCTGTGCTGTGTAACATATTATCATCAACTCAGGTTAAAACAACACATACATTTATCTCACAGTTTCTGTGGCTCAGGAGTCCAGGCACAGTTTAGCTGAGTCCTCTGTTCAGCGTCTCCCAAGGCTGCAATCAAAGTGTTATCTGGGCTGCATTCCCATTTGGAAACTTGACTGGGGAAGATTCTGTTTCCAAGCTCATTCAGATTCATTTCCTTACAGCTGTATGCTTGAGGGCCCCAGCTGGCTGTTGGCTGGATGCTACCCCCAGGTCCTAGAGGCCACCTGCAGTTCCTTGCTATGTAGCCCTCTCCATAGGCAGTTTACAACATATTTGTTTGCTTCTTCAGGGCCAACAGAAGAATCTCTCCTTCCAGTCTGCTAAGATGGAGTCTTATATGATGAAATGTAATCATGGAAGTGATATCCCATCACCTTTGCCACATTCTATTGGTTAGAAGTAAGTTGCAGATCTCACCTACACTGAAGGGGAGAAGATACAAGGGTGCAGATCATTGTGGGTCACCTTAAGGTGTGTCCACCACATACTACAAAGACATTGCAAAGGCAAGAGCTTCTCTTCTGGGTTCTGCTATGCACACTTGGCAGACTCCCACAGTGTGTGTGGCTTCTCCAGTGCTTGGCTCCTGCAGTGCACAGTGATCAGCAACACACATAGGCCAGCAACTTCCCCTGGCACAGCCATGCCCTCTCAGATGAGGTCCTTGGGTGTTTCTGTCTCAGCCCTGGGGTATGGTGGGTGACCTTTAGATCTGATATTCCAGGATTCTTTAGAGTTCTCTTTACTTCTTACTAGCTATGCCCTCATTTCTCTAATTCCTTGCTATAATAATTTTTATATTAAACCTTCCCTGTTCAAATTACTATGTTATTTCTGTCTACTGATTATACTCTGACTGATTTATGAACCATGTTCATTTAAGATTTGCTATAGCCTCTGACACTCCAATGAGCTGGTGATGTCTAAGAACTTTTTATCTACAAATGGAAGGTCAGTCACTCACCTCTTTAATTTCTTTCAGAAGTTCAAGAGCACAACTGAAGTCAGGGGGAGCTGCTGATAGTTGCTCTTTAAGATGGTCCCAAAAGGCATTATGCATTGTCTCCTTGACCTTGCCTTCCAGACTGTAAGAGGGTTAAATGAGACCCAAAAACTGTTACAGGGTCATAATCTCCTGAGCCCAAACAGCATTTGATATGGTAAAAGAGCATTACACTGACAGGGAAATGCCAGGAACTATATTTGAAATATAGCAGAGTTGAACAGGCTAGGATTAGACTTGGATTTCAAAACCATCAGCAAAACCTCTCAGAAGAGTTCCTTCTGATTCTAGAGCAGCCCTCCCTCTGCAATAGGAAGAACCCTGAATGAAGAGAGGTCAGGCTGAATTTTAGCACTGATTGTATATGCAGCATAGATGTATGACTTAGTCTTCATTTATGTATACATGTAGCATTGAACTAAACAATCGTTCATTTACTTGTGCTCCTAAAGTCTAAGAAAGGATTTTCCTTCTTTGAAAACACTTGAATGTCCATAAATATTTCCAAATCAAGAGGCCTAAAACTGAATTTATCATCTTCTCTCTCCAAACCTGTTCCTCTTGTATTCCCAATCTCAGTGTACTACCATCTACCTAGTTACGGAAGCCAGAAGGATCGGTCTTTTTTGTTCATCTTAAAAATATGTAAGAAGCAAAGGCAATGCAATTTAGAAAGGAGGATCTTTCAACAAACGGTGTTGGAACTACTAGGCATCCATATGTAAAAAAAATGCATTTAAATATAGGTCTTACATCTTTCACAAAAGTTAACTCAAAATGAATCACAAACCTAAATGTAAAACAGAAAACTAAAAAAATCCTAGAAGAGGCTGGTGTGATGGCTCACACCTGTAATCACAGCACTTTAGGAGGCCAAAACAAGAGGATTGCTTGAGGCCGAAAGTTTGAGGTTACAGTGCTGCTATGATTGCAGCACTGCACTCGAGCCTGGGCAACAGAGCAAGACTCTGTCTCTAAAAAACTAAAAATAAAAAGAATAAAAATAAAAATCCTAGATAAGATAAAATAGGAGAAAATCTAGGTGACCTTGGGTTTGGAAATGACTTTTTAGATAAAACACCAAAAAGCATGATCCACGAAAGAAAACTTTGGTAAGCTAGACTTCATTAAAATAAAACACTTGTGCTCTGTGAAGGACAACATTAAGAGGAAAAAAAGATAATCTACAGATTGGACGACAATCTTTGAAAAACACATACATGATAAAGCATAAGTATCCAAAATATACAAAGAGCTCTTAAAACTTAACAATAAGAAAATGAAAAACCCAATCAAAATAGGCCAAAGACCTTAACAGACATCTTACCAAAGATGATATATAAGATGGCAAATAAGCATATGAAAAGATGTTCAACTTCATTTCTCAATAAAGAATTGCAAATTAAAACAGCAATTAAGATGCCACTACACACTTATTAGCATGGCCCAAATCAGAATATCGACAACAACAAATGCTCATGAGGATGCGGTGCAACAAGAATTTTCTCTCACAGCTGGCAGGAATGCAAAACGGTACAGCAACTTTGGGGAAGACAGTTGGCAATTTCTTACAAAGCTAAACATATTCTTACCACCTAACAAGCATGCTCCTTGGGATTTATCCAAATGAGTTGAAAACTTATGTCCACACAAAAATGTTTACACCAGCTTTATACATAATTACCAAATCTTGGAAGCAACCAAAGTGTCCTTCACTTGGTGAATGGATAAACAAACTGTCCATATAACGAAATATTATTCAGTGATAAAGAAAAATGAGCCATCAAGCCATGAAAAAACATGGAGGAACCTTAAATGCATATCACTAAGTAAAACAAACCAATCTGCAAAGGGTATATGACATTATAGAAGAGACAAATCTATGGAGACAATAAAAAGATCAATGGTTGCCAAGGGTTTGGAGGTAAGAGGAAGGTAAGAATAGGTAGACCACAGAGGATTTGTAGGGCAGTGAAATCACTTTGTATGACACAGTAATAGCAGATACATGTCATACATTATTCAAAATCCATAGGATGTACAACACAAAAAGTGAACTCCAATGTAAACTATGGACTTAAGTTAATATTAATAATAATATATCAATTGTAACAAATGTACCATACTAACACAATGTACCATGCTAACATAACCATACTAAATCCTCTCTTTGGGGGCCAGGCATGGTGGCACACACCTGTCCCAGCCACTGAGGAGGCTGAGCTGTGAGTATCGCTTGAGCCCAGGAGTTTGAGGGTATAGTGAACTGTTACCATGCCATTGCATACCAGCCAGGGCGACAGAGTGAGGTTCTTTCTCAAAAAAAGTAAAAATAAAAATAAAATAATAGGGGAAACTGCATGAGGGAGTAGAGGGGTTATGTGGGAACTCTGCGTTTTCCAATCATTTTTCTGTAAACCTAAAACTACTCTAAAAAAAAATAAATCCTATTAATTTTAAGAAGTGAAATTACAGGAATTTTCTCCTGTGAATGTTTATTTAAATGATGTCTCTGACCTACAGAGCTAGACCAATAAGAAGAAAAATAACCATTTGAAAATTCTGAGGCATTATCTAGTCATTTCCAAATAGCTATTGGTTTCTTAAACATCCTTCCTTAAAAAAAAAACAAAAAAATAAAACCATACATAGTAGCAATGCATACTCCTTGTAAAAATAATATAAAGCAATACAAAGGTAAATAAAACAAATAGCCAAACTTCCTCTCCTGACCCACAATCTCAATCATCAGAGGTAACTGACTATAATCTAATAGTCTAGTGTATACTAGAATTGTTCTTAACTTCTGTCTCCTCATCTAATTTATCCAATTGGTGATAAAGTTCCACAAATTCTGCTTCTTGGATGTCTGGAATCCATCCCCTTCTACCATCATTTCTTACTATCAACTGGTCCCCCTGCCTCCAGTCTTGTCCCTTTTTAATCTTGTTTCCACTGCCACCAACTCATTCTAAAATCCACAATTTTTCTACAATGCAATTCTGATCATGATATCATGCTCATTTAGAGTCCTTTAGGGGGCCAGCTGCAGTGGTTCATCCCTATAATCCCAGCACTTTGGGAGGCCAAGGCAGGAGGATCACTTGAGGTCAGGAGTTCAAAACCAGCCCGGACAACACAGCAAGACCTCAACTCTACCAAAAAAAAAAAAAAAAAAAAAAATTAGCTGGACATGGTGGCATGTGCCTATAGTTCCGGCTACTTGAGAGGCTGAGGCAACAGCCTGGGCAACAGAGGAAGACCCTATCCCTAAAAAAAAAAGTCCTTTGGGGCTTTGGGGGCTCCCTGTCACCAGCAGGGTAAATGGCTCATATAACCTTTCATGCTATTGCTCTGCCTTTCTTTTCCAACGTATCTTCTCCTACCTTGTAACACCCTGTGCTCAGCCATACCAAGCTATTAGATTGGTGTAAAATTAATTGCAGTTTTAGCATTATTGACATTTGCCATTTGATACTGGAATGCATTCTTAAATAAATATGGTTATGTTATACATCATTTTAATGCACATTTCTCACTTTATTGTTTTTACTAATGACTTGTTGCTTGCTGTTTATTTTATATTTATTTTAGACTATGGAAATGAGGTTAAACAAAAAGCAAAATCAAGAGATTTTCTTATTCAAAATGCATAATAAAGCAGTGGAAAAAACTTGCAACATCAACAACGCATTTGGCCCAAGAACTGCTAAAGAATGTACAGTGCAGTAGTGGTTCAAGAAGTTTTGCAAAGGAGATGAGAGCCTTGAAGATGACGAGTCCAGTGGCCAGCCATCAGAAGTTGACAACAACCAACTGAGAGCAATCATCGAAGCTGATCCTCTTACAACTACATGAGAAGCTGCCAGAACTCAACGCTGACCATTGGAAAGGTGAAAAAGCCCAATAGGTGAGTGCCTCATGAGCTAACCAAAAATCAAAAAAATCATCATTTTGAAGTGTCGTCTTCTCTTCTTGTACGCAACAACAATGAACCACTTCCCTCAATTGGATTGTGACATGCAATGAAAAGTGGATTTTATATGATAACCAGCGATGACCAGCTCAGTGGCTGGACCGAGAAGAAGCTTCAAAGCACTTCCCAAAGCCACATTTGCACCCAAGAAAGGTCATGGTCACTGTTTGGTGATCTGCTGCCAGTCTGTTCCACTACAGCCTTCTGAATCCTTGAGAAACCATTACATCTGAGAAGTATGCTCAGCAAATTGATAAGACACACCGAAAACTGCAATGCCTGCAGATGGCATTGGTCACCAGAAAGGGCCCAATTCTTCTCCATGACAATGCACAACCAACACTTCAAAAGTTGAACAAATTGGGCTACGAAGTTTTGCCTCATCCACCATGTTCACCTGACCTCTCGCCAACCAACTACCACTTCTTCAAGCATCTCGACGTTTTGCAGGGAAAACCCTTCCACCAGCAGGATGCAGAAAATGCTTTCCAAAAGTTCATTGAATCCAAAAGCACAGATTTTTACACTACAGGAATAAACAAACTTATTTCTTGTTGGCAAAAATGTGTTGATTGTAATGTTTCCTAAAGTGATTAATAAAGATATGTTTGAGCCTAGTTATAATGATTTAAAATTCATGCTCTGATACTACAGGTTACATTTGCAGCAACCTGATACTTGTAAAAGAACGTACCATGTTCTACCACCATTCTGTGCCTCCAACATGTTGCTTCCACTGCCTGGAGCATCCTTTCCCACCAATAGCACCTGGCATCATCTAAGATTCAACTCAAGCCCTCATAGGCAGAATCTTCCACTGTAGGCAGATCTTCCCTGATCTTCCTTAGGCAGCCAGGCACTCTGTTAAACTCTCTCTATATGCACAGCTAGGAGTGAACTTATCAGTCTGATCAATTGTTTTCAGTCTGATTCAATTGTCTCCCCTATAAAACCTTTTTGACAGCAAAGACAGTGTCTTGTTTATCCATATCTATCCATAGCACCCAGCATTTTGCCTGCCACACAATAAGGACTCAATAAATGCCGGGCAAATGAATGCTTGAGCATGGGATTTCCCTTAGAAACCTATAATTATAATTAATTAACATCATTCTATGAGCCTAAAGCCAACTGTCCAATAATCAGTAACCTCAATCTCTTTCAACCTTTTCCCAAAATAATTTTTTGTATCACCAAACTGGGAACCCAACTCTAATAGTTCCATTTATCTCCCCTGCTTCATTTCTCCCTCTCTCATTTCCTCTACGTGAAACACCCCTCTCTATGCCCCCCAACAACTCCCTCACCATCATCTGTAACAGACCTTCACTCTCCCAGTTTCATTTTTCAATCCCCACCTGCCAGCAACAAACATATCAATCAGTGAGAGAGATGCTAGGAGATCTGAGTTTTGGTGAAAATCTGTTCCCAGGGAAGCTGTGCTTGGCACGAACACCTGTTAGCATCGGGCAAGAGCAAATCAAAGGAGCATGAAGACCAGGGGAGCAACTTGTTACAGAGAAATGGCACTTTTGTAACAGATTTCTTGAAGTGGCCAAATAACAAAACCTTGTAAGGATGCAAACTAATCACAAGTTGCCATTGTTTATCTGTCTATTGGTGGGAAATTAGAACGGTTTTAAAAGTAAAATCTGACAGTGAAATGTACCCACTTAGTTGCCAATAAACCAGCAGAGCCAATTCTGTTCATACTTACTGAATGAATACTTATATATTGCAATGTCAATATAACTAAGAAGAATCAAAACAGAGCTTGATCAGAATAGGGATGGGGATTTTCAAATCCTGATAAATAAATTAAGCTGATTTGTGAAGTGGAAAAAAACCCAAGTTTTATTTGTACCCCCATAATATGCCGAAATTAAAAAAAAAGTTTTTTTCAACCCAAGAGTTGAAAACACCACTAACAAAATCTTTGTATCTGTACCTATTTAATCTGAGGCTACTTAAAAGAGTAACTGACAGGAGCTACGTGGTAGGCAGTTGTAAGATGGCCCCAAGATCTCTCTGCTCCCAGTACAGTCATCCCTTCATATCCAAAGGGAATTGGTTCCAGGACCCCCCTTAAAGACCTAAATCCACAGATGCTCAGGTCTCTGATTAAAAAAATAGTGTAGTATTGCATATGACCTATGTACATTCTCTTATAAACTTTAAATCATCTCTAGATTATTTATAATACCTAATACAATGTAAATGCTATATAAATAGCTGTTATGCTGTGTTGCTTTATTTATTTGTATTGTTTTTTGTTATTTTTAAAGTTTTTTAATATTTTGATCCACATTTGGTTGAATCCATGTATGCAAGGGCCAACTGTATTGACATCCTTGTGTAATCCCGTCCCTTTGAGTGTGGGCTAGTTTCATGACTGGCTTTTAGTAAATAAAATGTAGCTGAGGCAATGAGATGTCACTCCTGAGATTAGGTATCAAAAAGACTGTGGTTTCTGTCTTGAGCATGAGATACTCTCACCCTCTACTCTCTCATTCTCTCACTCTGAGGGAGGCCAGCTTCTGTGTTTAGAGCTGCCCTGTAGAGAGGTCCATGTGGCAAGGCTGAGGGAGGCTCTGGACAAGAGTCAGCAGATTGACTGCAACCTTGTGAAAGACTATAAACCAGAGTCACACAGTTAAACCATGCCCGTCTTTTTGACCCACAGAAACTGTGACATAAAGAATGTTATTTTAAGCTGCTAAATTTTGGAGTAATTTGTTATGCAGCAATAGCTACTGCAGGCTACTTCCTCTAAGTCTGTCAGAGATCTAAAATCCACCCTAACTATTTATTCCAACTATTGCTGCTTTGGTTCATTCGCTTGTTAAATAACATTTTCTTCTTGATTGTCTGATACTAATAATTACAATTATTACTCTTCTGTTTAAGTTGTTAAAACCTCTCAAATTAAAATACTGATTATATTATTAAATAAAAATGCATCAAGTCTGATCAGAAGACATTAGTGCTAAGTAAATATGACAGGATGAGTAAAATGGAGAAAGTAGAAGAGCCTATACCTGCTTGGAGGTACAATCTTCTCTTCCATGTGGTAATCATGATTCATCCCAATCTTGTTGCTCAGCTTGGAAACTTCATTAACTGTCTCTGTCAGAACTGTGACAGAAAGAACTTATGATGGACAACAATGAACCCACACAACTCTGAATTTTTATTTTATTCAGAGTTCACTCAACCTAGTGGGCCCCAAATTTAGATTCATCAGACTTATCTTACACAGACTCACTCAACCATTCTAGTTATTTATGTTTTCTGAACTTTATGCCTCATGATAGTGCTAAAAACTCTCAGAGTAGTCCAGCACGGGGGTATAAAAAATAGAGTGAAACTGATTAAAACTTTTTTCTTAAAAAGTAAAATCATAATTATAGTAGTAAAAAATCAGTAATTTGTGATTCGCAAAAGTAAATATTTATCTAAGGATATTAAGAGTCCACTTTCCTCTTCTGCCACTAATGCTGCACACAATGAGGCTAAATTCTCCCTGCAGATAACACTCAGATGTTACTGAATAGTGCCAAAGTCATTTGGTCTTCTAAAGTAGCAGGTTTCCAGATTTTAGGATTTTACAGATTAATAAAATTTCCAAAAAATTTTAAGCAACTGACAACATGCCAACTTTTTGTTTTGCCAAGTATGGACAGTGAAACAAGAAATAAAAATCTACTCTACCACCACAAAAATCTTCATTTCATAAAAGGAAATACAGTTTAACCTCCGAAAAAGCAGAAAGGAAATATTGTCAAAATAAAGAGCAGTCCTTTAAATTGAATCAATACAGCTTTAAAAAAACTCATTACAGTATCTTTATATAATTTCATTTTGCTGAATATTACTAAGAATTTCGTCATAGACCAGCACCAGCATTTGGCAAGCACTGTTCTAAGTTCTTAGTACAGGCCTATAGTATGGCTGATAGCACTATCACATAATAGGTATATATAGCAGTTATAATGATTACTTGGTATAAAAAATGAAGTAATACACAATAAATCATATTTTCTCTCTCTCTTTCAATGAAGCTTCATAATTTGGCCTCAAGCTGTGAAGGGGATATAAATGAACTAAGATTGGCCATGAGTTGACAACTATTGAAGCTGGGGGATGCATAAATGGGAGTTCATTATATTAGTTGCTCTACTTTTATAAATGTGTAAGTTTTCTATAATAAAAAGATTAAAATATGTAAAAAGGAAAAATAAATTTTCTGTAGAAAAGAGAATAGGAGAATGCCCTTGTTCTCAGAAAAAAATATAACGAAGTATTTAGAGGTAAAGTCATGACTTTATATCTTTCAGATAGGGGGGAATATATATATATGGAGAGAGAAAAAACAATATAGCAGAATATTAACAATGTGGGCATTATTTTTTTTAACTTTTCAACAGATTCGGAATTTTTCAAAATTAAAATTTACAGGGATTGTAGACCTTTATAAAAAATCCATTGAGTCCCTGCTTAGGAAAACAAAGGTGAACTGAACCTTAAGCAGATGGTTGAAGTTTCCTTTGTTTTCTACAGCCTCTCTGAAGTCTTTAGTTCTAGCCAAAATAGCAAAATGCAATAAAATATGTAAATAGACTCACCGTTAATTCACTAATGATAAGTGAGAACTAAGAGAAAATCTCCAAAAAGAGATTTACAGCAGCTCACTGAAGGACTGAACGAAACATACACTAAAACACTTTCCAACTACAACAAATCCAAGTCCATAACCTGCCTTGACAAGACTATTTTGTTGCTCAAAAGTAACGTAGCACTAAGCAACTCCAAACGGTTCTAAAATTCAGGAAAGAGGAAGACTCAGAGAAATCAGAGATAAAATGTAACTAAAATAGGTTTTAAAAATCCAGAGCCCAAGGACAAAGAAATTTTCAAGTAATATAGTAATTTAATCAAATCAACCTAATATAGAAAATTTCAAATTTATTTTTTTAAAAAAGGATTTGTTATTCATTTTACTGAGAGCTGTTTCATCTATGGATTCACTTAGACAGCCGCCTCAAGAACTTAAATTGTATTTACAAAAAAATTGACTTTCTCCCCACATCAGGTTTTTATCTGTCCAATAGGTGCAAAATATGCTGCCATTCTGTTAACCAGCAGCGACCCCATGTGGGCACAGGAGAAACAAATCTAATTAAATTTAGCAGCAGGGCCTGGAACTAATTTTTTGTATTTAAATCTTCAAGAATTTTAGCTCAGGTTGCTGCATGTACACAGCTCTTCAGACTGATGACTGGTTGAGTTCTCTGGAGATAATTATAAGAGAATTGCAGCATGAGTCCCAGTGAGATTGGACCTACCACGATGTGTGGAAGAGACCTCGTGCCCCAGTAGGAACACAAAGGAACATCTACTACAGTACAGAGCTAAAGAATATGAGCCCAGGGCAGTACTACTCCTTGAGTCAACAAAAAACACAATTCCTGTCGGGGATCATTTGGGTTATTTAAAAATCGACCCCAGATATCTGCCATTTGCCACCTACAAATTCAGCATACAACAACACAAAGATGCCTCTGAACTGACTCAGCCTCGAATTCTGTCAGTCAAGTCATCACATCGGGCCACTTCTTTCTCGGGGACCAAAGACTCTCTGAAGACCTCTGGTCAACAGTGGCCTAGGGCCTGTAAGTCAAGTCCGTGGGGAGACAAGGAGAAGGGCAAACAAAAGAGGGGGAAGGCCAAGAGAGAACACTTGGCAGCTGAGGGGTCTGCGGGTCCCCTGGACAGCGCTGGAGCCCGGGCAGTGGGTTCCTTCCAACGGGCGCCACCCTCCCCCGAGGGTGGCCAAGGGGACGGCTGGACCTACGGGCAGGGGGGTCCTGGGGGCCGCTCTTGTCTTCCTGAGTCGGTTCTGACGTCTCAGGCTGGGAGGGCCTGCTCTCCGCATCGCCAGGGTCCTTTGAAGGCAGATTCTCCTCGACGTCCGGCATTTCGCTGGTGGTTTCTGGGCTGGGGAGAAACGGGGCGCGCTGTGGGCGTCCCGGAAGGGGGCTCCGCGACCGCCCTAGGGCCCGGCCTGGGGGCGAGGGCCGGTGAGCAGCCGCTTCAGAGTCTCTCGGGGCGGGAAAGACCGGGGCACAAGAGCCTGAAGGAGCAGGGATGAGGAACCAGAAAGAAGCCGAGTGCTGGGCCGCAGCCAGGAAACTGAGGTCTGAGGCCCCTTCCTCCCCCACCAGGCGACCCCTGTTCCCGCAACGCCCACCCGGCCCTCACCTCCGCCCCTGCCGCTGGGCACCCACTCTGGATCGGCTCCGCAGCCTGGCGGCCTCGCGGCCCGGCCGTACCACCGCGGCGAGGAGGCGGCGGCTGGGAGAGTCCGGGATTTGAAAACAAACCGCCGCGGTCTCCAGGGGCAACCGGGCAGCGCACGTGCGGGCGCTGCGCCCGGCGGGAAGCCGCGGTGCGTGTGCCTCCGTCGTCAGCTCGAGGCCTCCCAGGCCTCCGGTTACGCGGTCCCGGGACCCATCCCTGCCGGTCACCTCCTGCCCCCTCAAGAAGGATCACCTGGATCTAGCTAGGGGAGGGAGGGAGCACTGTTTGCGGTTTTTCTTCAGCCTGTTCGTATAACCCAAGAAACAGAACCACACCCAGGAGGGGCATTTCTCCAGCATATCCCGGGCACGCCGCGACAGGTGGCCCGGGAAGGCGGCGCTGTCATTCTCCAGCAGGCCAGCTTCCATTCAGGGCCTTCCCGCTGCCTTCTGGCCCCAGCCCGCCTGTGGCCCGAGGCAGGCCCTCCTGCTCCTTGGCTCCAGGCCCCCAGCCCTTCTTGCTTGGAGTCTGCTCTGTCGCCCCAGGAGTGATGTGCAGACCTAGAGTGTCCCCGCCCGGGGACATGAAAAGGAAGTTCACCTCCACACTCTCCCTTCCCTCGGATCACTCTGACTTGATTTCTTACCACAAAAACTTAAATAAATAAAAGTATTACCTGTAAGAAACTCTGCCTTGACTAAGTTTTTTTTTTTTTTTTTTTTTGAGACAGAGTCTCACTCTGTTGCCCAGGCTAGAGTGAGTGCCGTGGCGTCAGCCTAGCTCACAGCAGCCTCAAACTCCTGGGCTCAAGCGATCCTCCTGCCTCAGCCTCCCGAGTAGCTGAGACTACAGGCATGTGCCACCATGCCCGGCTAATTTTTTCTATATATATTAGTTGGTCAATTAATTTATTTCTATTTATAGTAGAGACGGGGTCTCACTCTTGCTCAGGCTGGTTTCAAACTCCTGACCTCCAGCAATCCGCCCGCCTCGGCCTCCCAGAGTGCTAGGATTACAGGCGTGAGCCACCGCGCCCGGCCTTGACTAAGTCCTTATTAAAACCCTTGCCCTGTTAGGGTGGAGTGTGGATGTATCTTGCACAGCTCATGGGTTTTGAAGGGGAAAATTGTGAAGAGACCTGAGCACATTTCTACTTTAAACAGTTCATTCTACTGTGAGGCCCAGGAGGTATGAGGGGAATGGCCTAGTAAAGTTACTGTTTACCGAGAGAGTATCTCAAACCGATTAAACCTGCTCCTTCCTCCTCCTCACCCTCTCCTGGTATTTCCCTCAGGGACATCAACTGTGAAGCAGGCTGGCCTTCACCCCAAACCCACCAGAAGTGGGAGGAAGTTGTACAGTGACTTCAGTAAAGAGTTCAGTCATGCTTCATATTACACAGAGAGATAGCTAGGCCTGGCTGTTGATTTCTGTTTTTTAAAACCAGAATTTTGTTTGGCATTTTAATTTTTGGGAGAAATTTTCCAAAATAACACTAGTACACTTCCCCCACAAAAAATGGCATTGTTGTAAAACTCTCCCTACTGAAGCCTGAAATTTCTCTAGCAGTTTATCCATATACATTAAATAATCTCTTTAAATGTTCTCTTAATACCCAAATTCTCTGGGAGAGTCATGGGGAAGAAATAGCAGTGCAGAAGCTCCTGGTATGGTGTGGGTGGGGGGAACTGAAGCCATAAGAGAAGGCAAAGATGGAGGTAGCAGAGAAAGACAAAATTAGAGTTTTCCCAGGGTCATACCAAGTACAGCATTTCATGATCTTTATCATTAATAGTTATCAGAACCAACCAAGCAAAAGTTAGAGGTTGAGGGGAATAGAAAGATGATGTGAGAGATATACCCTTCTTCTCTTTGGGGTCTTAGTTAATAACTGATTTTTGTTTAATGGTTTACAAAATACTTTAAATCACAAATCTTATGCTCTGCACACAATTCTATTCAATATGTAAGGCAGGGATTATATTGGATCACTTAATAGGTGAGCAAACTGGGGATCAGAGAGATTTCAGGGAGTAACCAAAAGTCACAGAGTAAGCAAGGTCTTGATTCTTGATCATATACTTTTTCTTAATTCACACCACTTCCCTTTTTCTGGCTGAGAAGCCATATACACACAAGAAAATATAACTAACATATAATGGCATGGTAAGTACCAGGGCTGGGGGTACAAATAAGAAGCGATTTCTCAAAGAAAGGGTGAGAGATCTTCCCCAGGTATTTGGACCAGTTCAAGCTCAGCCTTTAGCCAGAGTTCTAAGTAAGACTGTGTAACTCATTTGGTCTTTAGAGACAGTCTCTTGTTAGGCCTGGCTCTCCCTCAACCTCAGAAACCTCCTTAAACTCTCCAAATGGGTGAAATTGGATTTTGTACATATTTAGCAAGAATGCTCCTCCTGGATAACTTAACACCTTTACCCTATTAAAGTGCACATACCTCAAAAGACCCATAAGGCAAGTATTTGTCAAGCAACCTAAGGCTAGAAATAAAGGCCCTGTTTTCACTCACATTGAAGTATGCCCAAATCTGTCCATCCTGGGTTCCCTTTTTATACTAAGATGTCATGTGACTTTTATCTTCTATTCCTAATGTATCTATGTTTGTTTTAATATGAAAGTCTATTTCCTCTCCTCAAATCTTTGAGTAGAATTCTTGTCCCAGAAGGAAGGGCTTCCTATACTTGTTGGCACACCTCTGTATACCACCCTAATTTGAGAAGCAGTCTATGGTAATTTCAGGCCTACAAGCTGGAATTTTCCTACTCTTCAACCACTTCCTCACATATAAGAGCTTTAACCCAAGCCCAAGAGTATGACTATTCTCATTTGTTAAATACTATTCTGTGTACACTACCCCACAAAAGCAAATTATATAGGAAGTCAGTCCTATTCACAAAGACATTCTGAAAAAGCGGTAGATAAATTCAAAGATATGAGAGAAATACTCCTAGGTGGCTGTAAGAGATACAGAGTCAAAGATTTTAAGAACAATCATGGATACAGATTGGCTAGCTAAAATAAAACAAAAATATGAAAAACACCTCATTTTACAAAGAAACATCATAGGCTCAGTGAGGTTAAATGACTTGGCTAAGGGCACCACCAGTTTATGGAAAATTCAGGACTAGAACCCATATTGTGGTCTGTTTGCTCCATAATGTATGCAAGAGTAAAATCTAATACCGTAAATAAATATTTACATTTCCTAAAGAAAAATGTAAATGATAGGCCGTGGAATGGAAAAAGCGAGGGATGAAGTTAAATAGAGGCCAAGACTGCAAGTATAGTGGAGTATACTGGAAGATAAACAGCCAACTAAAGTGGTAGGGACACGTAAATACAGGGTGGGGCATTTAAACGGAGCCATTTGGAGTCGTGTAAACTGAGACTGCCTTCATTGTAGCCTCCCTTACAGCAGAGAACCTCACTTCAAAACTATTTGCTTTAGTCTTTTGACAAATGTGTTTTCTTCACAGAACCCAAGAGGAGCATGAGAAGGGCTGAGGTAATCTGGGGGCATTCTGGTGGTGGCCCTTTGAAGCTCAGAGTGAAATGTGATGGATGGGGAAACCATTACAAATCTTTAAGGAAAGGAGCTTCAAAGCAGAAGACAAAGAAGATTCTGGCAGCAGCATTTGCCACCTACTTCTCCAGCCACACCTCACTCCTGAGCAACACTTAAGAGTCTCTGCTCCTTCCTACCTCAGTGTCTTTGCACATGCTGTTCCTTCCATGTAACATGCTTCTCCCTGCTCTAACAACCTCCTTTCACCTGACTGACTCCCTCTCATCCTTCAGATCTAGCTTACAAGGCCTAATTTCCTCAGAGAAACTTCCATGTCCCTTTGTTAGCTTCTCTCAACACCCTGTACGTTTTCGTCATAGCAGTCATAACATTTTGTAATCACGTGTTTGTTTGCATAATTAAGCTTTGTTGAAATGTCTAACTCTCCCATGAGACTGTAAGCTTGCTTTCTCAGGGTAGGGACTGTGCATTTTATTCACCACTATGCCTGGAACATAGTAGGTGCCCTCAATAATCGTGGAGTGAATGAACAGGGTAGATGGCAGTGTTGGAGGAGTGATGGAGAGTCGGCACTGCTCCCCTACACACCCAAGCAGTCAGGCAAGGTGTGTCTCTCTAGACCCGGTCTTGATTACCAGGGTCTGTCTTTCTCTTTTTGTCTCATAGACATATAGACATGTTTTCCCTCTTTCTGTCTCTCCTCTGACCTTAGCTTCCTGTGACAGCCTTTTGAACTAGCAAAGACAACATCTGAGAGAAAAGGAAGGATGTTTAGGGCCCTGTGACACTGGGGTTTCCCCCCCGACCAGAAGGTGGCAGCAAGGGGCAGTGGCACCATGGGAGTAACCCACAGAGGCAGGTTCCTGGATGGAGGAGTTTCTCTCTTTGCAGAGCAACCCAGGCAGGGTCAGCAGCAACCTAAAACCGTGAAAACTGACTTAGAAGTCCTCCTAAGAGCTGCATCTTTTGAGACCCCAACACAATCGCGCCTTGTGCCCCAGGACACGGCGCAAGTTACACACTTAAAGCAGTTTCCACAGAACCGCATTCAGTTGGTTTTAAACTCTGGGGAAAGCTGGCAGCCTCTTTGTGGGTTTTTTAAAAAACTAGTTAGAGGGACAATTAAACCTTTATGGGTCCCAGAATGTACCTATGCACACATAAATAAGGAACATTCTTCATCACTGGAGAATCCACTTTCTGGCAAGAGATATATTTTTCTGCCATCATAGGACAGAGTTGAGCTCACGTCCGAGAACCTTTCTCATCAGGGCAGGTGACAGGGGTCAGCATGAGCAGAGTTGGAACTTTGACCCTAGTTTGGCATAAGCCCTTTCTCAAAGTAGACCCCTCACAGGCCTTGGGCTTAGCTGGTCTTAAATAAATTACATAAACTCCCAAAGCCTTTCCAGAAAGCTGCCAGGATTTTAGGCCAAGAAAACTCATCTTGCTCCCTCCTTGTGTTACTTTGGGCCAAAATGCTCCATTTGTCAAAGAGTCCTGACTCCATTATTCCCAGTCTTACGACACAATACAATGCAT